TGCCAGTCGACGACCAGCTTTCGAGCACTAGTCTAGCCATCTTATCACTGGCACCGCAGATCACCCTTGCCTTCTCAAAGTCTAAAACATGCTTCCGGTGCTGCACATGGCCGTAGACCATAGAATGCTCGCCCTTGCGGCTGATTACGACCTGGTGTTTATGCAATCTCGTGCCAAGACGTTTGCCCGTTTCACCGACATACCCTTCAGCACTGCCAAACTGATGATTACCACTCGGTACACGCAAAGGACCAAAAAGTTGCATGTGAAATTGTAGGACTGCATTGGACTGCACAGTCGGTTCCTTAGGTGTATGCAGTTGATCCTCTTTACCTCCGTTGTGGTACATAAATGTGCTTACAGTGTGGAAAAGGCGGGGGGAGGGCCCATGAGTAACGCATGTTTGTAAACTTAGGGGCCGGAATCTGCCGTGGCTTTGATGGATAAAGAAGGAGCAAATAAAATATTGTCATGCCCGACATGAAATGAAACATGCCTAGGTTAGGATGCTAGGCGTCTCGGGAGATGCGATGAGAATGTTCTGAAATTCTGCTTCAATCGAAAACGAAAGCCAAACAAAAAACAGAGCTACCTTTTATCTTCACTTAGTGGGACCCTCTTAGGATATGCCGTGGACTTCATTCACTCTATTTGCCGTTTTTTGTCCGATTGTTTGCGCTGCGTTGGCTACTTGTCTAAAATAAGCTGATGCGAACCAGGAGCGCATCTAATTGTAATTTTAATCCCCTATCCACAGGCTTAGTAAATTGAAAGATGTAAATACATCCTTTGGCGTAAGCATCTTCATGATTCTTTGATTTAAGTACAGTTGGCAATTGCGCTCCGCCGCGTGACTAACATGGCAAAAAAATACGTACACTCTGATTGGCTAATCGATCGGCCAATGTGCTTGCGACTATGCAGGCCCGCTCCCGCCCCCGCACAATACCACTTCTTGCTCTGTTACGACGTGGTGCGCAGCCCCTGCCTGCCGGAACAGTGTGTTTTTCTGCTGCCTCAGAATGTCTGACTGTTGTCCATCTTATTGTAGTATGTTTAAGGAGGCGTCCAGCGGAACCTGTACTGTAGCCGGATAGTCAGATGTGTCGGAAAGCTAGGCATGTTGCTATTCGCCTGAGGAGACTACCTGATTGGTCAGATTGCAAGCTTATCCTGTACATGATCGTGCAAATACTTTGCTTGTCTTCATAAAGAACACTGTTGGCATATAATTCGAATATTCTGCTCCTGCTGTTGACTTCTTCTGGGCAATTTGATGGGGGCCTTGTTGGTGCCTATGGCAATTTCGGACTTAATTGACGACGGAGTAATTACTGTCTATCCTCCAGCAACAACACATGCAGGTTGAGGCAGCTCGGGTGAAGATGATGCAACAATTTGCATTGCATTATCTTACTCCATAATGCTCTGGAAACCGTCCACTTCAGTGGACGCAGATACGGTTTGATACACTGATTTTACTTAAGTTCCTGATTCCACCGCGACATTCAACGCTTAGTTTGAATGTTCGGAAAACATTTCCCGTGTGAAAGTTGCAAAAGTCGGTGATGTGTAGACGGTGCGCAGTATTTATAAAAAGGATAATTGACCACATAATGGAAGTTCATTAGCGATTTGGACCAGCACCTATTCGAGGGCGGCACTTAAGGTGACCGTATCGGCGTCTGTTGTGTTTAACTCGCAAGCGCGTACTTCGTGGCGATTCTGCGCGTATTCGTCACAAACTCTCCCAATCTCCCCGTCTCCGCTTTGGAGATAAAGGCTGGCTCCCGTTTACAGTCACACAAATGTGCATTTCCTCTTTCACCTGCTTCTGTGTAGTGGGGTACATTGGCTAAACAAAGAGGCGCCTGGAGAACACCTAGGTTCGTACACACCTATAAGCCTGGCTGACTAAACGTAAAGGGTAATGGATTTAGAGTTCTACTTGGGCGTACATCGTATGGTTGGAGAGGAAAGAAAAGGTAAATGAAAAAAATGGGGCGTATAAAAGTATAAAACATGAAAAAAACATTTTTTAAATAGACTAATGTTAAGTACCAAAAAAACAACAAGAGACCAATAGAAAGTAGAAATCTTGCAAAACGTGTACTAAAAAACTGCCTAACTTTACAGAATAACAGAAGGAACTGCGATTTTTTGAGATTAAAGAGAAGTAATAAATATAGTAAAACAGCAGTGCACTACTGCTGCTCAGCTCTGTCTGGACTATACGAGTTCGGACGTATGTCCCTCAGTTCTGGCAAATGCGCCTAGTACCTCCGCAAAATTCATGAAACAATTCTTGCGCAGCTCATTCCGAAGGTATGTGGGATATATCTCCAGGGCAATCGTCATTTTTTGGGAAGGACGAGAGAGACCACCCCAAATCTTTGTATGATATTTGACAGCGTAAAGCTGGCTGGTTTCACTCTGAAGTAGGAAAAATGTGCAGTTCCTTGAAAAAGGGACGAATTATCTATGGCATGTTAGATCCGTATCCCTGATCAAGACCGATAAGGAAAAGTTTATACAAGGTCGTGAGTGACAAAAGCCTATAGGCTATAGGACCGAGGTCAAAATTCCTTTTTTGAGCCTTTCTTCCAAATACAGGAAGTTCTCCAAGGACTATGACCAGATAGCCACACCGCCAAACTAGGCCACCCAAAAAGGGAGCGAGTTTAAGTGGACGCCGAAGTGAAAGGCAAGCTTCAAAGCTTTAATGGACAGTCCCCGCTCGAGCCCTATTCTCGCCTTCCATGAAATCGGCCAACACACTGACATTCTCATTGTAGACTGGGGTGCTTGCAAACCTTGCAGCAGGCTGACAACACCAACTGTGGTATTCGCTCGGGGATGATCCGTACGAGCGATGGATGATTGAGCCGAAATCACACCCCACCTGGTTCACATCCG